TGCAAACTGTTCATTAAAAAGCCAGTGATCTAGCGCGCTATAAAACATTTTTTTTTAAATTATTTATTCTTTAAAGCTCTGACCTCAATCGGTAAAGCAATATTGTAATGGTGTCCATTGCAATCTGCTGTATTACTTGCTGCTTTCAAAAATTCTGAATATATTCAGAGATTTCTTGGGCAATAATAAATCCCCAAAAACAACTCCTCTGCATTTATGCTAAACCTGCCTGTTGTAAACGTATTCTGTATATTTCTTGACATAAGTACTTTTACTTAAATATGTTTAACAAAGCTGTTCATATTGTGGTAAAAATATATATATTATTATTTATTTTAACATTGCTTAATTTTTAAAGATACCTGCATATTTAATTAAATATCCTTTATATCTCTTTAAGGCATAAAATATCAGCAAATTAAGATTATATGTTCTGGGTATTCCCGTGATTCCTTTTCTATCATTTATTTAAAAAAAAATTAAGTCTGGAATCTGATTCCTTTTGGGATGAGCACCCCTCTGAGCCCCCCCGTTTCAGAGGCATCTTTGGAGGTGACCACTGAAAAGTATAGATTCTACAAAATAGATGTGAGGGGGCTTTGGACAGTAAAGTTACCTTAATTATACTTTTCATATAGCAGATATGTGATATGCAATGTAATTTAATATATCAGAGTATTATCACTTTAATTGACACTGCATTTTTTTATGCATTCTTTATGCATTTAAAAAAAACAATTCTTAAGTTTTAATGTCTGTTCAGAATACTGCAGGCTTTGCAATATCACATTAATTTTGCAGTATATATATTCACAATGCTCTTACAACATATTATTAAAATTAGCCTCTTTCAGAATTGTAGAATATGTGGTGGAACTGAATCCCCATATATGAGATTTAAAACTATTTTTAGTTCTACTCTGTGCCCTACTCTGTATTTATATACATAATTGGAGCAGCATATAGCTTTTAAAGAAGCAATTATTTCACCCCTCATGTGTGGTTGACTGTGGACTTTTTAAAACGTACTTTTTATTTTTATTTTTTTTTAAATCCATTTCTGGCTATGAGAGAGCAGGCTGCTGAATGCATGTAAATGCTGTTATTTGCCTAGACTATATACTTTTATTTATAAACAACATTGATATATTTATATATAAACAACTTTAATATTTAATCTTATTTTGTTATTTTATAAAAACCTAGTTTATGAAATTCACTGAGATTACATGTGTCTGATCTGATTACAGTCAGTAGTACAATATAATTGTTCTAATTTCATTACTGCTAGTACGATTTAAGTAAGATTTCTTTTAAAATTGGTGGACTTTACTGCCATTGCAATAGACTAATGACTGTGCCTGAGTAAGCAAAGTCATTATGTGCAGGAATTGTACACTTTAAATAGTAGAATACTTATGCTATACTAGTGAATTGGGCTGGCTGCTTAACACATCATTTAGTATCTTTTGGTCACATTTAAAGCTGAAAATGTATTTAACATTTTATTTAAATGAGCCTTTAATAATTTCAGTTTAAAAGCTAGCAGAGATCCTGTATAGTTACAATTTTATTTAGCCCGGATTTATCTTACATATATATTATTTTTAATCATTTTATAAATATTTATTTTTGCAGAGCATTTAGAGAAGCAAAGGATGTATAACCAGCTTTTGCCCTTTTTTCTAGGAGGGTAGTATAATTTCAACTCTGTTTAGGAAAAAATATGAGCTAGTTAGCATATATTATATAAAATATATGCTGCATTGTACTGCATTGAATGTATTTAAAAGCCATGTCTTTCTCTTTATGGCTGTATGTAATAATGTTGTTCATAATTTGGAATATAAAACAACGACTTCTCAATTCCTTGGAATGTTTACATGTCTCTGTATCTCCGAAACCTTAGCTGGAAATTCCAGACTCCAAAAATAGTTATGCTGTTATAATTCCTGATTTTCAATCAACAGCTAGCGTAACTGACAATATGGAAAATATCACTATTTTATAAAACTTTTCATATATAGTGGACATTAGAATCCAGAACGCAGTAATGCAATAATTAAAAATCCTGTCTGTGTCATGAATGTTTTCATTAAGCCATAATGCAATTTTCTTTGCATTCTTGGAATTAGACTTCAAATTTCATCGCTCTGTCTTATCACTTTTCTTTTGAGAACATTTTGCATTAATCTTTTTCCTGCGCATGCATACTAAGCAGCTACAAAGAGAACATATCCCCCTGCCTGCAATCCACTGTCCTGGAACTAATGGGCCATGCTGTGCTGGTGTATTAGGCATATCAGGGAGTTTACCAAATATGTATATTTGTTCTCTTATGATATTAATTAAGATCCACAATTTCAGTATTGTATGCCAATTACGATGTTCCTGGCACCTGAACTCAAAGTGCTTTGTTAACATTAAAATCATTTCTAATGATGAAGATCTCTCTCTGAGTCTGGCTACAAATAGCTCAATAGATTCTTGATATTTCAAGACTTGTGCCATGACAAAGCATTGTGTCTTCTCTTACGTATAAGAGGTAGTGATGTACCGAACGGTTCGCCGGCGAACGGTTCCTGGCGAACATAGCATGTTCGCGTTCGCCACGGCGGGCGAACATATGCGCGGTTCGACCCGCCCCCTATTCGTCATCATTGAGTAAACTTTGACCCTGTACCTCACAGTCAGCAGACACATTCCAGCCAATTAGCAGCACACCCTCCCTAGCAGACCCTCCCACCTCCTGGAAGGCATCCATTTTGGATTCATTCTCAAGCTGCATGCTTAGTAAGAGGAGGGAAAGTGTAGCTGCTGTTCATAAGATAGGGAAAAGCATAGCTAGGTTAGGGATAAAGGTATGCTTTTTTTTTTTTTTTTTTTTTTATGTAATGTAAATGCATTTAGTTGGTTCGCCACTGCTGCCAGCTTCCAGGCCGGGCTCACAGTGCCCATTTTCAGTCAGTGCCACCACTGGCATCTGGTGTCACAATAGCTTGATTTAAAACAAAAACTTTTTCACTGTTATGATTGAATAGTAGCCAGTTGTTCGCACATTGTTGCCAGCTTCTGTGTCATCAGGCCTACAGTGCATACTGTGCCCATTTCAGTCAGTGCCACCAATTACATCTGGTGTCACAATAGCTTGGATTTAAAACAAAAACTTTTTTACTGTTATAGGATTGAATAGCAGTCAAAGTGTCCTTAAAGCTGGTGTGTTACGCTAACAGTGGATACGCTTGACCAGTGCCACTAATTAGATCTGGGTGTCACAATAGCTTGGATTTTAAAAAAAAAAAAAAACTCTTTTTTCACTGGGTTATAGATTGAATAGTGCCAGTGTCCTTAAAGCTGGTGTGTTACGCTTACTAGGTATATTGCTGCTGACCAGTGCCACCAATTAGATCTGGTGACACAAAGCTTGGATTTAAAAACAAACAACTCTTTTTACTGTTATAGATTGAATAGCAGTCAGTGTCCTTAAAGCGGGTGTGTTACGCTAACAGTGGATACGCTGACAAGTGCCACTAATTAGATCTGGTGTCACAATAGTTTGGATTTAAAAAAATAATCTTTTTTCACTGTTATAGATTGAATAGCAGTCAGTGTCCTTAAAGCGGGTGTGTTACGCTAACAGTGGATACGCTGACCAGTGCCACTAATTAGGTCTGGTGTCACAATAGCTGGGATTTAAAAAAAAAATAATCTTTTTTCACTGTTATAGCTTATATAGCAGTCAGTGTCCTTAAAGCGGGTGTGTTACGCTAACAGTGGATACGCTGACAAGTGCCACTAATTAGATCTGGTGTCACAATAGTTTGGATTTAAAAATAATCTTTTTTCACTGTTATAGATTGAATAGCAGTCAGTGTCCTTAAAGCGGGTGTGTTACGCTAACAGTGGATACGCTGACCAGTGCCACTAATTAGATCTGGTGTCACAATAGCTTGGATTTAAAAAAACAAAACGCTTTTTACACTGTTATAGATTGAATAGCAGTCAGTGTCCTTAAAGCGGGTGTGTTACGCTAACAGTGGATACGCTGACAAGTGCCACTAATTAAGATCTGGTGTCACAATAAGCTTGGATTTAAAACAAAAACTTTTACTGTTATAGATTGAATAGCAGTCAGTGTCCCTTAAAGCGGGTGTGTGCAGCTAACAGTGAATCGCTGACAAATTGCCATAATTAGATCCTGTGTCACAATAGCTTGGTTAAAAACAAAAAACTTTTTACTGTTATAGATTGAATAGCAGTCAGTGTCCTTAAAGCGGGTGTGTGCAGCTAACAGTGGATCTGTGACAAGTGCCACTAATTAGATCTGGTGTCACAATAGTTTGGATTTAAAAAAAATAATCTTTCACTGTTATAGATTGAATAGCAGTCCAGTGTCATGGCGGGTGTGTTACGCTAACGGTGGATCACGCTGACAAGTGCCACTAGGTAGATCGGTGTCGTAGCTTGGATTTAAAACAAAAAACTTTTTTTACTGTTATAGATTGAATAGCAGTCAGTGTCCTTAAAGCGGGTGTGTTACGCTAACAGTGGATACGCTGACAGGTGCCACTAATTAGTTTTGGTGTCACAATAGTTTGGATTTAAAAAAAAAATAATCTTTTTTCACTGTTATAGATTGAATAGCAGTCAGTGTCCTTAAAGCGGGTGTGTTACGCTAACAGTGGATACGCTGACAAGTGCCACTAATTAGATCTGGTGTCACAATAGTTTGGATTTAAAAATAATCTTTTTTCACTGTTATAGATTGAATAGCAGTCAGTGTCCTTAAAGCGGGTGTGTTACGCTAACAGTGGATACGCTGACCAGTGCCACTAATTAGATCTGGTGTCACAAAGCTTGGATTTAAAAACAAAACACTTTTTTCACTGTTATAGATTGAATAGCAAATAAGTGTCCTTGGTAAACGGGTGTGTTATGCTAACAGTGGATGCTGACCAGTGCCACTAATTAGATCTGGTGTCACAATAGCTTGATTTAAAAAAAATTATCTTTTTTCACTGTTATAGATTGAATAGCAGTCAGTGTCCTTAAAGCGGTGTGTTACGCTAACAGTGGATAATGTGTGACCAGTGCCACTAATTAGATCTGGTGTCACAATAGCTTGGATTTAAAAAAAAAACCTCTTTTTTCACTGTTGTAGATTGAATAGCAGTCAGTGTCCTTAAAGCGGGTGTGTTACGCTAACAGTGGATACACTGACCAGTGCCACCAATTACATCTGGTGACACAAAGCTTGGATTTAAAAAAACAAAACACTTTTTTCACTGTTATAGATTGAATAGCAGTCAGTGTCCTTAAAGCGAGTGTGTTACGCTAACAGTGGATACGCTGACCAGTGCCACTAATTAGATCTGGTGTCACAATAGTTTGGATTTAAAAAAATAATAATCTATTTTCACTGTTATAGATTGAATAGCAGTCAGTGTCCTTAAAGCGGGTGTGTTACGC